ATGATGATGAAAGCTATTACAAAATGCAAATGCGGTGTCGGGGGGAGGGGGGGAGGGAGACACCAGTACAAAGAATTATTTGATTGCTTGAATGTTTGAATGCTTTGGTCCCCCTTAATAATGCTTAAAAAAAAAAACCAAAGTTACATGAGTTGACCTAAGAAAATTGTAGAAGCACACTGAAAATGAATGAAATAAAACTACTCAATAATTATAATGAAAAGGACTTAGTCTTCTACAAGGTGGAAGCAAGTCCGATGGCAGCAACTTTGTCTTGAGCATCAGGGTCTGCGCGCGCATTGCTGTTGGCGCGCTCGACACTATTTGGATCTGCCAGCGGCTGGGCGTTGGTGCTTGGCATTGGATCTGCGTGCGGGGCACTGTCTGTGCGTGCGGCACTATTGGCAACATGATGGTTCGTGCACGCGGCATTGTCGGTGCGCGCGGCACTGATGATATTCGCCAGCCGCTGGGCGCTAGCACTGATTATCGGTGGGGCGACAGAGGCGCATGCGCGCTTGTCACTTAGCGCTGCCGAGACCACAGGGCCGACCGTGGCGCTAGGCGTTGGGAGTCTTACCGGGATGCCACGGGGCGCGTACAAGGGGTTATGGGTCGATGATGGAAAGCAGCCCATGACATTCTCCCCCACCTGAGTTGGCGACGTCCTCAGAGCCTTACCTGCCGGATGATGATGATTGGTCAGGCTCTTGTTGGCTGGGAGGTATGTTCCCCTCAGTGTTGTGAGATGGCTTTCTGAATGATCTTCCATGTATTTCTGAAATGCTTGGAGGCAGCTGACATGGAAAACTGGATAGAGTTTCCACCAGGCTGGTGTGTTCAGCTGGTATGTGGATTTCCCAATGCGCATTTCAATGAAAAATGGTCTGGTGTATTTTTGCAATAGGCGAGGATCTTGGGTCCTCTTTGCAAACAAGTTCCGCTTCGGGGTTCTCACCATCACTTTGTCCCCTACTTGATGTTGGACAAAGTGAAGGTTTTGTTTGGCATACCTCGTTGTCCTCTCTTGGGCTTTGACAAGATAGCTCCGCACTATCTTTAAAGTTTGCTCCCATTCTGTCTAGAAACTGGCAGCTCGAGGAGATGTTGGCATGTTTAGTGCATTCACATAATGTGGGATTAACGGTTGCTGTCCGGTAACAATTTCAAAGGTGTTTTTGTTTGTATGGGCGCACTTTTGTGAATTGAAACACAACTGAGCAGCATCCAGAAGCTTCACCCAATGTGTTTGTGACCAGGTTGCAAATTGGCGGAGATATTCCTCCAGCATGTCATTGAACCGGTCTGGCTGGCCATCTGCTTGTTGATGGAAGTTTGAGTTATGACTCAATTTGGATCCGAGGCAACTGAAGAGTTGGGTCCAAAATTTGCTAGTGAAGCACGGGTAGCAGTTGGCTCCCGTTGTATCCCCCTCGGACAGGCGGCTGAGACCTATCCTTATGAGTTTCCAACTGATAATCCCCAAGGCACTCTGCAGCATAAATGGCCTTGGGCAGGGTATCTACCCGTTGTCTTTTCATCTCCATACGGGCATGAGGTTTCAAACCTTCTATGAATGCGAACAGTTTGTCTTTGTCCCCCATATCCCGTATGTTTAGCATGAGTGCGGAGAATTCACGCAACTTTCTCCCCGTGCTTACGGGGCTGTTACGCGACGCCTTCCTGAAGTTCCTTGGAAGGGCGACGTAAGGTTAAACAACCGATGTCAGTGCGGTTGCTATGCGCCAACTGAGGTCCCCCACCGTACGCTAAACTAGACTGTCAGTATCGTAAGAAAAAACCAATGTCGTGATCAATTGAGCAGCGGAAATGAGCAATGCTGATGAAAGCTATTACAAAATACATATGCGGTGTCGGGGTGGGTGGGGGGAGAGACACCAGTACAGAGAATTGTTTGATTGCTTGAATGTTTGAATGCTTTGGTCCCCCTTAATAATGCTTAAAACAAATAAACCAAAGTTACATGAGTTGACCTACGAAAGCTGTAGAAGCACACTGAAAATGAATGAAGTAAAACTACTCTATAATTACAATAAAAAGGACTTAGTCTTCTACAAGGTGGAAGCAAGTCCGATGGCAGCAACTTTGTCTTGAGCATCAAGGTCTGCGCGCGCATTGCTATTGGCGCACGCGACACTATTTGGATCTGCCAGAGGCTGGGCACGGGTGCTTTGCATTGGATCTGCGTGCGGGCACTGTCTGTGCGTGCGGCACTATTGGCAAGATGATGGTTCGTGCGTGCGGCATTGTCAGTGCGCGCGACACTGATGGCATTNTTGGCAACATGATGGTTTGTGTGCGCGGCATTGTCAGTGCGCGCGACACTGATGGCATTCGCCAGCCGCTGGGCGCTGGCACTGATTATCGGTGGGGCGACAGAGGCGCATGCGCGCTTGTCACTTGGCGCTGCCGAGACCATGGGACCGACCGTGGCGCTAGGCGTTGGGAGGCTTGCCGGGATGCCACGGGGCGCGTCCAAGGGGTCATGGGTCGATGCATATGTAAAATGCCTCGCCTTACACCCACGCCTTTTAAAACACGGGTAATATACATGGACAAAAGCTCTAGATTCAGAAAGCAGGAATAAAACTTCAGAATAATTTCTTTCCTTCTTTCTATGGACTACATAAATCTTATCTTCCAGCCCAAAATAGGCAAGGGGAATCCGTTGATCGAATTCATTCCTGATGATGTGCCTCTTAACGGATTGTCAGTCAATGGCTCAATGGACAACACTAGCCCATTTGATAAAGTACAGAATGAATATAAGCTTGTAAATTACACATAAAAGTTAGACTGAAACCATTGATCAATGTCTCAAAATAGCATATCAAACATCAAATTATTTATATAGAGAAACCCAACTAATTTTGGGATGTCCTAGCTGATTACAACAACAACAACTACACCTCAGTACCAAACAAGTTGGAATCAGCTATATGAAGTCTCATGTTTCTCTGCTTAAGCTCAACTCATGTCATTAATATGTCATAGCCGATTGATTTACACAACCACAAACATACATTTTATAAAAAAAAATACCTTTTGAATTGTAATACTGATTCTCAATGCCAACTTCCTGCTCCTCAAGCTCCTCGTCCGAATACTCAAATCCATAATCCTCCATGCTATTTATTACCAGTTACTCTTCCATTATTGCTCATACTTTATGAATATTTAATGCATGTTATTGTCAACCTCTTATTGGATCTGTCCCACCTTATCCACGTCCTCACGATTCGCATCTAGAGATATTATCATTAACTAGGTTTAACCCATTATTGCATAAATATAATAGTTTCAACAGAAAGTTATACTTTTTGGTCAAACAATTTGGCGTCGTCCCGCACCATCCACATGATCATCGGCGAATGATGAACTCGAATAAAGTATGAAGTTCACCACAACCCACAAGCTCAAATAGTCGATCACCCACGAACGGTATGATGAACTCGAAGAAAGTATCATCTTCGATAAGTCAGATACCAACGGTTTGGTTTTCCCTCACTATGATGCTTTTGTTATCACTTTACGAATTTTAGATACCGATGTGAGATGCATTATGTTAGACGATGGGAGCGGGGTATGCATTATCCACCCTCGAGTACTTGCACAAATGAACAAGGATAAGATAGTGTCGCGCTGCATCACACTAACAGGTTTTAACAATGCAGTGGAACGAACATCCGGCGAGATCACACTCCCCATCCTGGCCGGTGGCGTCACTCTAGAAACCACATTCCATATCATGGACCAGGATACAACATACAATGACATAATATGGCGGCCATGGATACACTCCATGAGAGCCAACCCCTCCAGTTTGTACCAATTCATCAAAATCCCAACTCCATAAGGAATATTTAGTATACGAGGAGAACAACACACATCCCGGGAATGCTACCGCATCGCTCTAGACTGCACGATCACTTAGCAAACAGACAGAGAGAAAGAGGCATAGCAATCAACAGGGTCGGGGTCAATGCGCGATGATAGCGAAAACGTCATCAGATACCCCGATACAATGGAAGCCGCATGATCGACCGTAGAAGACCTCGACCCTGTTCAACTAAACAACAACAACCACAACAAGAAAGCTTACATCGGATGCAAGCTTCAGGAACCAAAATCCATGCTATTTATTACCAGTTACTCTTCCATTATTGCTCATACTTTATGAATATTTAATGCATGTTATTGTCAACCTCTTATTGGATCTGTCCCACCTTATCCACGCCC